GACACCCAGCTCCTGGATCTGAGGCACAACCACTTTCCCTCGGTGCCCCGTGCCGCCTTCCCGGGCCTGTGCCACCTAGTGTCGCTGCACCTACAGCACTGCAGCATCGCTGAGCTGGAGCCGGGCGCCTTGACGGGTCTGGACCATCTGGTCTACCTCTACCTCTCTGACAACCAGCTCTCGGGCCTGAGCGCTGCAGCCCTCCAGGGAGCCCCCCACCTCGCCTACCTGTACCTGGAGCACAACCGCTTCCTGAGGGTCCCGGGGGCTGCTCTGCGTGCCCTACCCAGCCTGTTCTCCCTACACCTCCAGGACAATGCGGTGGACCGCCTGGCACCTGGGGATCTGGCGGGGGCGCGGGCTTTGCGCTGCCTTTACCTGAGTGGAAATCACATCAGCCAGGTTTCAGCTGGCGCGCTGGGTCCAGCTAGGGACCTGGAGAAGTTGCATCTTGACAAGAATCAGCTGCGAGAGGTGCCCACAGGAGCCTTGGAGGGGCTGCCTGCACTCACAGAGCTGCAGCTCTCAGGGAACCCATTCAGGGCTCTGCAAGATGGGGCCTTTCAGCCTGTGGGGCGGTCACTGCGGCAGCTCTTCCTGAATAGCAGTGGCCTGGAGCAGGTGGGTTCTGCATGAGGTGCAGGCAGGAAGCACGGTCCGTAGAAGTACACTCCTTCCGCAAACATTTTAGACAGGGCATGAGAACCCTAAGACAAACCAAACATTCCCCTCAGCCCTTAGCGAGTTCAGATGTGGGTGTCAGGCCAGGTGCAGCTAGAGGCTTCCCAAGGGGCATGGAAGAACTTGAGTTTGAGCAGTTACCTGATATTGAGAGTTTCTAAGAGGCGTGGTGATTATAAAGGTGGGATTCAGGGGGCTGGAGAGCACTGGCTGCTCTCCCAGAGGACCCAGGTTCAATTCCCAGCACCCACATGACAGCTTACAACTGTCTGTAATTCCAGTTCCAGGAAATCTGATAGCTTCACACAGACATAGACACAGGTGAAACACAAATGCATATAAAATCTCTTCTAAAAATTTAAGGGTGGGGATTCAGGCCTAACTGAAGGAAGATGGGCATTGTGTGACTTGGAAAAAGACGTGGGTTTTAACCTCAGTACTGCCCTTCCAGCATGAACCAACCACCTTGAGCCTTCCATCTTCTCTCCACTGGAGAGACTGGAACTCCCTGCAGACCTAGGGCAGCCCCCCTGGAAGGAGCTCACAACAGGTCTTGGCACTTCCTTACAGATTTCTCCCATGGCCTTCTCAGGCCTGGAAACAGTGCTCCGGAACCTGTACCTGCAGAAGAACCAACTTCAGTCCCTACCTGCGCTGCCGCGGCTCAGTGGGCTGGAGCTCATCGACCTCAGTGGAAATCCCTTCCACTGCGACTGCCAGCTGCTCCCACTTCACAGGTAGTCATGCCACCAGAGGTGTAGCAGCCGCTAGAAAGCAAATCCAGCTATCTCCATGAGGTGCCATGGCTCAGTTTAGGGTATCTGTGAGGTTCTCCAAAGCTAAGCATGAATGCACCGTTGCCAGGTCATTGGGATTCCTGAGTACCCAGGATGGTGTTTCAGCTAGTGTCTCTGTTTTTTTTTTTTTTAAGATTTATTTATTATGAATACAACATCCTGCCTCCATGTATGTCTGCACGCCAGAAGAGGGCACCAGATCTCATTACAGATGGTTGTGAGCCACCATGTGGTTTCTGGGAATTGAACTCAGAACCTCTGGAAGAGCAGTCAGTGTTATTAACCTCTGAGCCATCTCTCCAGCCCTAGTGTCTCTGTTCTTTTGATAAACACCTTGACCAAAAAGCAACAGGGGGGGCTGGGCATGGTGGCACAGCCTTTAATTCCAGCACTCAAGAGGCAGAAGCAGGCAGATCTCTGTGAGATGAAGGCCAGCCTGGTGTATATAGACCAGGCCAGCCAGCGCTACATAATGAGATCCTATCTCAAAATAGTCAGGAATTGGCATAGGCCTTAAATCCCAGCATTTGGGAAGCAGAGGCAGGATCTGAATTGGAAGCCAGCATGATCTACAGGGCAAGAGGACAGCCAGGACTAAACAGAGAAACCCTGTTTTGAAAAACAAAAAACAAACAAAAAAACCAGCAACTTGGCCTGGGGTCAGGCTCTCAGGGCAGCATCTGCACTGACGCAGAGACGAGGGGCCCTGCTCTCTGGCTTGTTCAGTTTGCTTTCTCACACAACACAGGACCACCAGCCTCTGCTGGCCCTGCCTACCGAGAACTGAGCCCTCCCACATCAGTTACTAATCAAGATATGTGCTATAGGCATGCTACAGGCCAATCTGGTGGAGGCAATTCCCAACTGAGGTCCCTTCTTCCTCGATGGTCCAGTTTGAGTCAAGCTGAAGAGAGCTCAGTGGCACAGGTGGACTGAGCTTTGACCCCTTCATAAAGTTGAGATGCTTTCCTTGCTTGGTGCACTGGGACCTAAGAAATGCACATGCGTACTTGGCACAATTACAAAAAAAAGCAACAAGAAGCTGGGTGTGGTAACCATGCCTGTAATCCCAGCACTTGGGAAGTGGAGGCCAGAGGATTAGGAGCTTGAGGTCAGCCAGGACTAAGCAAAAACAAAGGCTGGGAACACAGCTCGGTTGGTAGAGTGCGTGCCTGGCATGAAGCCTGGGGTTAGTGCACACAGTGCAAGCACCCATAACCCCAGCACTCAAGGTAAGGCTGCAAGATCAGAAGCTGAGGTCCACCTGGGCTATACGAGACCCTGTTGTTGCTGTTTTAACAGGAATCGGGAGTCAAGCAAGCCTAAGTGAGTCCAGGCTCTGGTGTTTTACCAAATGAGTCTCATAGCCTCCCTTTGCCCGTCTGTGAGAAGCAGTGCAGTCTACTGCACATCGTTGTGGCTGCTGGAGAACTAAGTTAGTGCATATAAACTGATGAGAGTTTCTGCTGGAGAACTAAGTTAGTGCATATAAACTGATGAGAGTTTCTGCTGGAGAACTAAGTTAGTGCATATAAACTGATGAGAGTTTCTGCTGGAGAACTAAGTTAGTGCATATAAACTGATGAGAGTTTCTGGCACATGGAGGGCACTGCCACTGTTTATTCTCTTTTAGGCAGAAGGGAGCAGAGGCTTAAAGCAACTTGGGGGTGAGCCACCCAGGCGGAACTCTCCGTAGTGTCGTTCTGAACATTGCCTCCAAGTTCCTGACCCCTCCTCATACCCTCAGGAAACCTCACCCATGCGCATCCATACTGAGCTCCCGTCTCTCTCTCCTCCTCAGGTGGCTCTCTGGGCTGAATCTGCGGGTGGGGGCCACCTGTGCCACCCCTGCCAGTGTCCGTGGCCAGAAGGTGAAGGCTGCAGCTACTGTCTTTGAAGCTTGCCCAGGATGGACTGCCAGGAAGGCCAAGAGGACATCAACCACGAGGTTCAGTGCCAGGAGAAGCCTCCACAGAAGACACCGAGGAACAGACAAGGTTGGGCCTCTGGTGGGGGAGGTCTGGGTCCCAAAGCTGCTTGGTCCTTTTGCATGATACAGTAATGTCCCTCTCCTCATTGGATGTCACAGCTTACCTGTCCCAGTCCTGTTTTACTGGGTCTACTTTGGCTGCACCCTTGGCCATCCTGATCTCACAGACCTGTCAGGAGAACGGAGGTTCAGGTGTGCTGGCTCTGCCTCCCATCACCCGTCAGTCACAGGCTGAGATGTCACTTCAGGTCCTTGAATGTTGGGGTCATGTGAGGGGACCAACAGGCAGCACTGGAACTCGTGGAGCACAGCCGGGTGGTTGGTAAAGCCACGCCTGAGTGAGCCCTGGGGAGGCAAAGCCCCGAGGACTGTGTGTTCTGAGGGCCTCATGCTGCTGTTGCCTTCATGGTCACTGCAACCCTCGTAATCTATGAGTTGTATGTAGATCCTCACTGGGCAGTGTCACGGGTACTTACAATAGCAGTGATTGACTTGCCAAGCATTGCTGCTGGAGCAGATTAATGATTCAACCACCCCCCTTAGAAAGAATTCAGGCAGTTCGGATTGTTAGTAAAGCTAAGATGTTTTTGTTAGCCGGGCGGTGGTGGCGCACGCCTTTAATCCCAGCACTCGGGAGACAGAGGCAGGCGGATCTCTGTGAGTTCAAGGCCAGCTTGGTCTACAGAGTGAGTTCCAGAACAGCCTCTAAAACAATACAGAGAAACCCTGTCTCGAAAAAACAAAAACAAACAAAAAAAGAAGTAGCTTTTAGCCCCCAGAGAAGTCTCTTTTTCTCGCCAGCTCCGCATCTTGTGCCCAGTCTCTCTGACCTGCAGGCTTACCCTCTGAACTCACACTCCTAGTTGTAGCAGTGACTTGATGTCATCTGTGAAGGAAGGCTATAGGCAGCTGCAGGGCGAGCCCCTACATGTAGGAACCCTGATGAAGACAGGTGGAGCCCAAAGGGAGGAGCCTGTGTTACAGGTGGCGGTAAGGACAGACTGCAATGGACTTCAGCAAGGGCCCTGTCTCATTCAGGTGTACTGCACACGTCGGCTGACCCAGCACTCAGGAGGTGAAAGGCCAGACCACATGAGACCCTGTTTTGTTGTTTTAATAGAGTAACAAGAATCTGGAGTCAAGCAAGCCTAAGTCCAGGCTCTGACATGATCACCACACTCCCTTTACTCATCTGGGAGTCTGGGGAGGACAGGCCAGGAACCAAGGCCAAACGCCAACCTGTTTTTTTTTTGTTTTTTGTTTTCCCCTGAGACATGGTTTCTCTGTATTGTTTTGGAGGCTGTCCTGGAACTCACTCTGGAGACCAGGCTGGTCTCGAACTCACAGAGATCTGCCTGCCTCTGCCTCCCCAGTGCTGGGACTAAAGGCGTGCACCACCAACGCCTGGCCACGTACACCCTCTTTTGTCAGGGGGTCTCATGCTCCAGACAACTGTAGGCACACTAAGGCCATCTTTCATCTTCCTCCCAGCATCCTCTTCTGGGGTTGATGTCCACTCATCTGATATTACCTCATTTTTTTTAAGATTTTATTTTTAATTACACGTCATTTATGTGCACATTTTTACCCACGGAAACCAGAGGCACAAGCTCCCCTTGTAGCTCAAGTTACAGGTGCTTATGGGTGGGTGCTGGGAATTGAACCTGCCTTTTGCTGTGATCTTCCGTCTACTTCCAAACTATTCACCCTTTGAGGAACCAGGCTATGACAAAGGCCCCTCTCATGACAGGGTGGGCTGTGTGTAGCAGGTGAGTCAGGACTGAATGCTCTCTGAACCTGCTCAGTGTGTAGACTGGTCACTCACATGTCGCCTCGGGGATGAACCCAGTCTGGGTCCTGAGCAAAGCCAGTCAGTACATCTCAGGATGATGTTGCAGACTGACCAGTGCAAAACGTGGCTATGAAACACAGCACAGCCACAGTCACGGCAGGACACGGAGCCATGGCTGCACTGCTTCTCCAAAATACAGGGGAACAATAAGGGCCCACTGCAGGTGCCCCTCTGGTTTCCCAGATGTTACCGGAGGGCTAGATGACCAGTTTCAAGAGTTTCTAACTGGGGCTGGGTGCATGCTTTTAACACCAGCACTCAGGAGACAGAAGCAGGGGATCTCTGAGTTCAAGGCCAACCTGGTCTACATAAAAATGAAAGATCCTGTCTCAAAAAAAACAAAACAAAACAAAAAAAACCACACACACACACACACACACACACACACACACTCACTCACTCACTCACTCACTCACTCACTCACTCACCAAAAAGTGTTTGACTGGGAAAAACAAAACCTCAAACTTGATGTAAAGACAGTGAGCCGAGTAGTTACACAGCTGACCCAAGAAGGAATGGAAATGTTAGGTCCAACCCAAACGAGGCTCTCGAGAAGCATGAACTCAGGCAGGATCCCAGAGCCACATTATTGTCTGATCCTGTATCTGGAAGCAAGGAGCCCCTGGGGGCACAGGTCCCTGTAAGTAATCCCAACTGTTCTTTTAAGAAAGGAAGTCAGTGTTCTTGTCAACCGTGAGGTCAAGGCCACTTACCAGTTACCCAAACCTACTACCCTGGTCACTTCTCAATTACCCGCCAAAGTGGGGGCCTAGGGCACGAGGCAGTGCAGGGTGCTCCAGGAGGCATGAGACCCTCGATTTGTTTTAGGCAGAGGTAGCTCTGTTCACACCTAGTGTCCACAAGGGTGTCCCACTCACAGATGCTCCATAACTCCACCACCTGCCTGGGTAGACACATGGATCAGTCCAGTTTTCCAGTGTGCAGAGGGGGCCTCAGGCCTGAGTGAGGGCAGAGGTGGGCCTAGAAGACCAGGCTGTCCATTCGCTGCACAGCAGTAAGCTGGGCCTCCTCTCTGATCCATGGCCAGGCCAGGCTTCAGCTAGGTCCAGGCTGACACCAGGGAAGGCTCAGTTGTCTTTCTCCTGCTTGATGCTCTCAATGGAAAGGGGCAGCTGAGGACTGGGTGACCGGTCGGGCGAAGGCATGTCCTGGTGCTCCTCCTTCACACACACAGCAATAACTGGGGAGGGGGGGGGAGGGGGAACAGAGAATGAGTGTGAGGTGTGACAGTCTGGGGGTGGGACGGCAGGCTAGTAAGGGAGCTAGTTTCCCTGGCGGGGACCTTTGAGGGTAGCAGGGAACCTGAGTGACCCCTTTCATGCTCCTCCTCACCCCTCAGAAGCAGCAACAGAGAAGGCCAAAGGCTGCAGGCATGGCCAGTGAGATGACTCAGCAGATAAAGCCACTTGTAACCCAGCTGACAACCTGAGGTTGATCGATGGGACCCACACAGTGGGAGAGAACCAGCTCCTGCATTGTCCTCTAACGGCTACATGTGTGCTGTGGCCACTCCAGCAATCCCCCAACATACATGAATAAAATTTAAAAAAAAAGGCCCCAGGCCTACCCTAGCCAGAAAGACTGTGCCAGAAATCTACACCTGCCAACCTGACACCCACCTTAGTGAGCAGGCGGAAGTTAGAGGTGGGGGAGGAAGTGGGAGCCAGGACACTGGCTGGAGAGATTCTGCCCAATTGAGTTGCTTGGGTGTTAGGAGGCTTTCCAGTTCCAGAGGTTCAAGAACTGTTTGGTGCCTGAAAATGCCCTCAGACTCAACTCTATTCTTTTGTGCCAGGTAGAAGAGCAAAGAGGCCACATCTGAGAACGGAGGGCTGGCCCTGCCTCACTCCAGCCCAGCAGCTCTTACTGTCATCAGAAACTGGCTCCGATGAGACCCCCAAAGCCTGCAGGTCATCCTCCAGCAAGGGCTTCTTGGAGCCCTGTCTGATGGGTCGAGTCTTGGCTGACGGGATTCTTTTTCCTATGAATAAAAACAAAACAAACCCAGTGTTGGTGACAGCGGGCAGTGTGGGACAGGGTATATGGATCTAGACTCCACTTCTCAATACCCCTTACTGGCATGTGCCTGAGGTCAAAGCTGTTGTGGCTGCTAGGTTTTTTGTTTGTTTGTTTTTATTCGAGACAAGGTAGCCCTGGCTGTCCTAAACTCATTCTGTAGACCAGGCTGGCCTCAAATTCAAGAGAGCCTCCTGCCTCAGCTTTGGAGTGTTGAGAATAAAGGCGTGCACCGCCACTGCCTGGCTAGATTTCTTTTCTGATGTTTGATTTAACTGTAACACGGCACAGTCAGTTACTATTGAACAGTACAGTTCCTGCTCTGACTCTGGCTCCCTGCAGACGGACCTTCCTCTTCTCCCTCCACCTGGTGGCATGCTGTGGGACCACCTTTTATAGCCTATAATTGAGATGCCTTTGTCACCTGCCCTCCTGTCCCCTACTCTTGTATCGCCACCCAGCTGCTCCAGGAGGGTGTGAGGGAGGAGCAGCCTTGGGAGTCAGGGCTCTCTCTGGGCCTTTCCTCAGAACCCAAGAGTGACAGGCGCTCTGGGCAAGCAGCAGCAGGGACAGGACCCTCCCCCACCCCCGCCATTCGTCCCTCAAATCCCAGCCTGTTTCCTCCATTGCTGTATGTACTCTAGTCCCCTAAGGTCTCCTGGGGAAGTTCCAGGAGGAGGAAGGGCTGGACCACAGAGAGGCCTGTGTGTGGCAGCGCCCCAGAAGCCAGTACTTGGTGCTGTGGGGCTTTACTTACTTTTCTTCCCAAATTGTTTCTTTTTCTTCTTTGTGGCCTCTTTGCCCTTCAGAGGTGTGTTTGGTTCTAATGTTTGCAAGAACAAAAGAGATGAGAAGAGAGTTCTGGAAGGACACAGAGCACCTCCTAAAAGACTCTTGGCCCTCATATATGGGGTATCCAAACAGAAGCTAGAGTTGAGCACTGAAACAAGATGGGGGAGGGGCTGGAGAAGAGTTTCCCACTCACCCCCTTGTCACCAGGACTGCTCAAGGGGTCTGGGTACTCAAGGGCCCAGACATATGACACAGTGGGCAAGATGAAGGAAGGTGTTCTGCAGGCAGGGAGACGGGGAGACAGAGGTCAGGAGGGGGTAAGAGACAGAGCATGCACTCCGCTTAGAGCAGTGGTTCTCAACCATGGGTTCCACCCCCATGGGTGTTCAATGGCCCTTTCACAGGGGTCACCTAAGACCATCAGAAAACAGATGCTTACATTAGGATTTATAACAGTAGCAAAATTAGAGTTGTGAAGTAGCAACAAAAATAATTTTATGGTTGGGTCACCACATGAGGACCTGTATTAAAGGGTCATAGCATTAGGAAGGTCGAGAACCAGGGAAACCTGGAGACTTCTCAGTCTCATGCCAGAGGACCAGAGGACTATGCTGGGCATGGGGAGCAGCAGTTGGCAGGAAGGAAAAAGGCAGATGGAGAAAATTCAAGAGCTCTCAGTGCTGCCCTGACCCCCAGCCCCTCCAACACTGACCTGCGGACACAGGTGGCTGGAGCTGGTAGCCGGTGAGTTCACACCAGCCCACAGGGTAGATGTCTGGGGATTCACAATCCACCCACTGATCATACTCGTTATCCCAGCCATCAAAGTGGATGCTAAGGAGCCGATGCACCACTCTCTTCACAGTGGCCACACAGATGAGCCTGGGCTCCATCAAGTCCACAGCCTCCAGCTTCATGCCCACCTTGAAGCCATGGTTGGGGCAGTCCTGGTTGGAGGAAGAAGACAGTTGCCTGGCTGGCCAGTACTAGGTCAAGTGGGCTCACCCAGGCAGGCAAGGGACTGCTGACAGAACATGGAGAAGGCTCCTTCAGATAGCAATCCCACTGAACTCTTCTCTCAAGTGCCAGCCCCTCTGTGGAGAAGGGACTGGTCTACACTGTGGCCCAGAGAATATACATGTCACAGACTTTTCTAGAAATAGTTGATCCCCAGCAGTAGAGACTTGAAAAGATGGGGTTGAAATTGCCACTGCTGAACCAATCCCCAGGCTGCCACAGACTCCCTGACCCAGCACCGGAGTCTCCTCACCATGTTAAAGAGCCTTGCTGGAGCTGCCTTCGACTTGGTCTTCTCTAAGTAGGTATCCCAGTCAAAAAGCCGTGTCTCATACCCTGGACAGCAGGTGTTCACAGGAGGAGAGGAAGGAAGAAGCAGAGAGCAGGAAGTGGGTCAGGGGCGGCACAGCACACTGTGGGTGTCCCTGCAGCTGGCTGACCCAGCCTAGTTGGTAGCTGTCCTCTTCCCCAGCCGCCACACATCAGCCACGAGGCTGGGTCAGACAGCGGTAGCTGTAGATGTCTCTCTCACAGTAAGGGGACACAAATAAGGGATCTGGACTTGTGGCCTTACCCTGCCAGGTCTTACCTTTCGGGGGTGTGAGCTCAATGTCATTCTTCTGGCAGAAGGTGGCTGGGAAAATGGCATGGGAGGAGGCATGGTAGCAGAACCAGTCTGAGCCATCTGTGGAAGGCCCCCCATCCACACAGATCATGAGGTAGCCATCCAAGAGTACCTAGAGGAGGAGCCAGCGATGTCTCAAGAGGTAAAAAGACTCAAGAATTCACACAGTGGAAGGACCGAGCAGCTACCACAAATTGTCCTCTTACTTCATGCACATGCACATAAAATAAATGCAATTAAAAGCTGGCTGGGCGGTGGTGGTGCACACCTTTAATCCCAGCACTTGGGAGGCAGAGGCAGGAGGATCTGAGTGAGTTTGAGGCCAGCCTGGTCTACAGAGCGAGTTCCAGGACAGCCTCCAAAGCAATACAGAGAAACCCTGACTCGGGGAAACAAAAACAAAAACAAACCAAAAAAAGCCGTAGAGGCTGGTATACAGAAATAGACAGCATTATCATTAACGGCAGAGGGCAGACCCTCCAGAGTAAGGTAGCTATAACTGGACATGAGGCAGGTGGATCTAACTGGATGGCTGAATTCTGCTTTTCACCAAATAACCCAAGATGTTTAGCAGAGCATCCAGCACTCAGGAAAAAGTGCATTTGTGGGATAAAGCACCCTTTCCACTGGATAGCCAATCCATGCAGCTAGGGCTGCACCTGCCTTGCTGCCACCAGGCTCCCAGCATGGAGCCGGCTAGATAGACAGTCAGCAGTGTCCTCAGGCTGCAGCAATGAGGAACACAGGAACAAGGAGTTCAGCTGAGGCTCTGGGCATGCCAAGAAGATGCAAGTGGCTGGGAGGCTTACATGAGGGGCCAGTGTGGAGCCTGTACCTGACCCGGGACAAGGCTTAGATGTTTAGTATGTCTCAAGCCTTAACATGAAGGTCGGGTCTGAGTAGAAAGCAGGAATGGTCTCCCTCTACCACACACAATCTAAGTACAACATGAGCAGACAGCGTCAGAGCCCCAAGAGCCTAACAGCAGGAGCAAAGCTCTGTGCCCTCCAACCCTCAGATGGCCATGCTGGAGGCGGGAGACTGGCCTAGGCTCACCTTGCAGATGGTTGCTACACAGATGTTGCCCAGATTCAGAGGGTCAATGGCTTCTAGTTTCATTCCTTCCTCAAACCAGCCACCTTCTGTGTAGACAGCTCGGACCTTAAAGGAATGAGGCAATTGAGGATTCAGGGGAAGGTAAAGGAGGCAGGCTTCCGATGCTGCAGGCCTGGGATGGAGACAGAGTCCTACTGGGTGTGATATGCCAGTCTATAATCCCGGAATTTAGGAGGCCGTGACAAGTCAGCCTGGGCTACAATGGGACTGTGGAACAACATTTTACAAGAGTCAAGGGACAGTCACAGAGAGCAACCAGCTCCTGCAGCCTGGGAAGAATATGGCCAAAAGAAAAGTACCCACAGGCTGCACCTCACCTTCTTGAAGAGGTAAGGGACAGCATCACAGTAGATTTTCCGGAAGGTGGGGTGATGGGACATGTCACATCGTCTCTCTTGGGGAGGTGGCAGAGAAGAGAGGGAGAAAAGGCAGGTGAAGACAGCAATGGTTGTCACACGCTCCCCAGAACTGAGGGGCCAGGCAGCTGCCTCTCTTCTCAGCTGTGTCCCGGTCCCCACCCTGCACAAGAAAGCAGACAAGTCCACCCGGACGCCCCAGAAGTCCCTGTTCAGCACGGGCATCTGGGCTCTTCCTCGATGGCACTGTGACAGCAGCACCTGAGTTACATCTTGCTTTTGCTATTCACAGATTGAGCTGAGGGACCCGAGTCACTGGGCCTTCTAACCCTCAGTCCTATCACTCACAGGCAGTATGGCAGCCCACCTCACTACACTACTAGGAGTTATACCAAAGGCATTCCAAATGATCTTTAGGGAGGTTAGGCCTGGAGCCACACCAGCCAGGGGCTCTACTAACCTGACATCTTGATGCCATGGCCAACACGCCGTGACCAACCCACTGGGTGGATCAGGGGACTCCACATATGGCACCAGAAGTCATCATCACTGTCACCATCCTCATAGAGGAGCCGTAGGCGACCCCCAATTACCGTGTCCACCACAGCCATGCGGGTCCGTGACACCTGGGTCTTGTCCACAACCTCTAGGCGCATGCCCTGCCGAAAGGGGTACTTCATGCTTTCCACCATCTGCAAGGACATGAAGAGGCAATCTGCTTCAACTACCAGCTCTTACATTCCTACTCTTACAGCAAAAGCTGAGTGTGGTAGCACATGTCTTTAATCCCAGCACTCAGGAGGTAGAGGCAGGCGGATCTCTGAGTTCAAGGCCAGCCTGGTCTACAGAGTGAGTTCCTGGGCAGCCAGGGTACAAAGAGAAACCCTGTCTTGAAAACCAAAGATAACCAAACAAAGGGCCAGCAAGGGAGAAATGACTCAGTAGTTAAGAACACCTGTTCTTCCTGAGGACCCAGATTTGGTTCCCAGCACTGATATGGCAGCTCTCAAGCATCTATACTCCAGCTCCTGGGGATTCAACGCCCTCCTCTGGCCATCAAGAGCATGTATGCATACAACACATAAAAATGCAGGCAAAACACCCATATACCCATAAGCAAATCTTTTTTTTTAAATGGGCCAGAGAAGACAGGAAAGGGCAATGGGATCTTGGAGACACGGATCTTGCCTGCCTTGCCTGGGCCCCAATCCCTACAAACAGCAAAGGGCAGGCCTTCAGCTCTCAGTTACTCAGGGTGATGGGAATCCCAGAGTCTATTTCAGAGCAAGGAAACTCAAATGACCTAGAAAAGTACAGGCAGACTCAGTTCTGGCATTCATTGGGCCTTTCACAGCTCTCCACTGATCCCTGGGCATCTCACACAACCTTCTGCCTCCTGGCCCTCTGTAGATGGCACATGCGAAATCTGTATGCAGCAGGTTATGATGGCTGTAGTCCTAGCACACAAGACGAAGAGGCCTATCTGAGACCATAGTGAGCTCAAGGCCAACCAAGACTATGTGGAGGAACATTCTTAAAAAAAAATGCCAGAGCTGGGCAGTGGTGGCACTTGCCTTTAATCCCAACACTAGGGAGGCAGAGGCAGGCGGATCTCTGTCTAGGTCAGCCTGGTCTACAGAGCGAGTTCCAGGACAGCACTAGAAACAAAGAAAAACCCTGTATTTGTGGGGGAAGGGAATAAAGAAAAAAAGTTAGTACAGAGTTAGAGTTGGGTGGGGAAGGGTTTTGTTTTTGCCTTTCCAGGAGAATAAAAGCATCCAACTAAGGAATCTGAAGACCATTGGAGCTGGGCGTTGGTGGCGCATGCCTTTAATCCCAGCACTCAGGAGGCAGAGGCAGGTGGATCTCTGTGAGTTCGAGGCCAGCCTGGTCTACAGAGTGAGTTCCAGGACAGCCTCCAAAGCTACAGAGAAACCCTGTCTCGAAAAACAAAAAAAAACAAAAAAAAAAAACAAAAACAAAAAAAAAGACCATTGGATAAATAAGACATCTGATCCAGGGAAAATGTCTCAAGAAAGTGAGTAAATTGGCATAATGGTATAACATACTTCCAACAGAAAAAAATTCATAAGTCTTCTAAAGTGCCAGGTGGTGGTGCACACCTTTAATCCCAGTACTTGGGAGGCAAAGGCAGGCGGATCTCAGTGAGTTCAGGGCCAGCCTGGTCTATAGAGCTAGTTCCAGGATGACTAGGGCTATACAGGGAAACCTGGTCTCAAAAAAAAAATCTCCCAAATGTTTGTTTATGCTGTTCTCTATAAGTATATAAGGCAAATGGTCTTTTTGTAATCCCAACTCAATTAAAAACTAAAGCTAGCTTTGGAATTGGAGTGTGGCTCTTTTCTTCTTTAAATCCAGGCATGCTTGTTAGAGGAAAACCCAAAGTCTCTGTCTTATGTCAGAAGAGCCACATGGTATGGACAGAATAAAACCAAAATTAAGGGACTATTCTATTGTCACTAATCTCATAATCCTTTGGTTTTATTCTGACTCTTTAAAACTTTTCTCCAGGTATACATATTATCTAGAAATTGTAAGATTAATATATACAGCAACCAAGATATCTGTATCTAGGGTGGGGTGTGAGGGTTTTCCTAGGGTCAGGACACACAGCTGGATGAAGAAGAGCTACAGCCAAGGCTTGATGCCAAGGCAGAGGGATGTTTTTCAGAATGGGTGATCTCAGGGTTACAGCGCAGCAAAGAGAAGAGCTAGCTCACACCCTGCCACCAACCCCAGGTCTGGGCTTGCGAGCCTTGGGCTACTTTAGTCTACCTGGTCTTCTCTAACACACCCTTGCAAGGCCTGCAAGCCAAGCACACCTGGTGGCCTTCCTGTTTAACATACGATAGGGAGCTGAAGCTGTGGACTGATTTCTTTCTCCATTCTCAGCTCAGGGCCTGACACACACACACCTGAGCCGGCTGGAGTCATTTGTTTCAAAACATTATTGTATGCTGGGTGTGGTGCCAGAGGCAGGATTGGAAATTCAAGGTTAGGCTTGCAGGACTGTTCAGTGGATAAAGGGAACTTTGCCGACAAGTCTGAAGACCTGAGGCCAATGCCCAGGACCCCTACAGTTGTCTTCACTTCTACCCATAAACTGCATATAAACTTAAAAAATCCAAGGGCGGGCTGGAGAGATGGCTCAGAGGTTAAGAACATTGACTGCTCTTCCAGAGGACCTGAGTTCAATTCCCAGCAACCACATGTTGGCTCACAACTATCTGTAATGAGACATGGCGCCCTCTTCTGTTATGCAGATATGAATGCAGACAGAATACTGTATACATAATAAATAAATCTTTAAAAAAAATTAAAGGGCATCCTCACCCAGATAGAAAGTTTGAAGCAGGCTTGGCATATCTGGGACTGTCTCAAAAATAAAAACCACCACCACCCCCCCCACATACTATGCACTTTCTATACTGAAGGCTAAAGAGCCAGGCCTGGAGTGTTCTCGACAAGCCCACCCCACTCTGCCCTACCATCTTGTTTTTCAGAGGTGCCAGGTGAAGGAACAGCCTAGTGCTGACACTGGAAAGGCCTAAGCTGTGGTTACTCTGTCAAAGACAGGCTCTTCACTCCGACAAACTGACCTTCCAAGGCTTCCCAACGAGCCTGTCTAGAACTCTTTTGTCCTATCTCACAGCATCTCAATCCTTCGAAAAGGGAGGCCTCCCTGCTACACCTAATGGACCACATCACCTGCCGTCATCTAATCTGCCTCATCTTTTTTTTTCTTTTGCAGGGGGGGGGGTTCGAAACAAGGTTTCTCTGTGTAGTTTTGGAGGCTGTCCTGGAACTAGCTCTTGTAGACCTGGCTGGCTGGGCTCGAACTCACAGAGATCCGCCTGCCTCTGCCTCCCAAGTGCTGGGATTAAAAGTCTGCACCATCAGCGCCCGGCTTAATCTGCCTCATCTTAAAACAAAGTACTAGGTGAGTAAGTGGGCAATTGCCCCAATCACTAAATCTGCCAGCTGTGCACTGGGAAACAGGAGACAAATCTCCACTTTGCTAAATATAGAGTATAGAGAAAGCTAACAGAAGAGAGAGAAACTGAAAAAAACAAAACAAAAAACCAGTAAGTACAAAAGAAAAATAATCTCTACTTTGAGGGGAGAAAAAAATCCAAGGCATGCTTATCTGAGGTGCACAACATGGGCAGGTCAGTTTCCTGCTGGCTAAAGAGACCCACTAGGCACAGCTTGCCACCCATACCCAGTGCCTGGAATGTGATTGTCCCAATTTCCATTCCATCTTTGTGTTTCAAAGTTGGCTTCCACACCATCTGAGCTCTGCCCCAGCACATACAATCCAAAAGTCACAGTTTTTGGGAAGCCTGTTTGATAGCTGCTCCTTGGAGAACACAAGGCCAGGTCAACTGAGAGTCCTGGCAGCAAGCACTCCACACCACACGACCTGCACCCTGCCGGGAAGCCTCCCCAGCCTCATGAGGACCCCTCAAACGGCTTTCTTAGGAGAGAGGTCTACTGAGGTGGGAAAGACCATGTTCTGTAGAGCTTGGGATCCTTCTGAATGGTTACTCTATACACAGATCTTCCTGAGGTAAAGACCTAAGTAATGTTCCAAAGTTGTGTTGGTTTTTGAAACAGGAGTTCATCATATAGTCCTGGCTTGCTTAGAACCTGCGATGTAGACCACACTGGCCTCAAATTCAGAAATCCATCTGCCTCTACCTTTCAAGTGCTGGGATTAAAGGTGTGTGCAACCATGTTCAGCCAAAGTAGCTTTCTAAATTGAAATGATATTCCATACAGATGGTTGAATAGCCCCATTGTAGGGGGCAACTATTTTTATCATTATTTGTGTGCATGACTTACTTCTCCCACCAGGTTGGAAAATCTAGACACACACACACACTTTGTATTTCCATAGTACTTTGCCTTTTGGTTTTTTATAATATATTTTTATGTTCATTGGTGTATTGTCTGTATGTATGTCTGTGTGAGGGTGTTCAATCTCCTGGGACTGGAGTTTACACACAATTGTGAGCTACCATGTGGTTGCTGGGATTTGAACCCCGGGTCCTCTGGAAGAGCAGTCAGTGCTCTTAACTGCTGAACTATCTCTCCAGCCCCAGTGTTTCACTTTTTAATTTATTTTTATTATGTTTATCTGTATGCCATATGTGTGGGGTACCTGTGAAGGCTAGAAGAGGGTGCTGGAACCTCCAGAGCAGGAGTTGCAGGCAGATTTGAGCTGCCTTATATGGTTCTGGGAATTGAACTTATGTCCTCTGGAGGACCAGCAAGTACTTTAACCACTGAGTCATCTCCCTAGCCTCCCCCACCCCCTTTTTTTTAAGACAGGGTCTCGGCTGGGTGCACATGCAGTTAATCCCAGAATTTGGGAGGCTGAAGCAGGTGGACTCTGTGAGTTAGAGGCCAACCTGAGCTACAGAGCAAGTTCCAGGACAGCTAGGGCTACATAGGGAAACCATGTCTCAAAAAACTGAAAACAAACAAACAGAAAAAGACAAGGCATTACATAGCCCTGATAGACTCAATATAAGATCTACCTGCAGTTTGGCAGTGGTGGTGCACACCTTTAGTCCCAGCACTCGGGAAGCAGAGGCAGGTGGATCTTTGTGAGTTCAAGGCCAGCCCGGTCTACAGAGTTAAGTAGAGAAACCCTATCTTTGGTTAAAAGAGAGAGAGATCCATTTGCCACTAGCCTCCACCTCTCCAGTGGTTAGGGTTAAAGGCATGTGCCACCAGGATCAGCCCATAGTGCTCTTTTTTTTGTTTTGTTTTCTCTGTATTGTTTTGGAGGCTGTCCTGGAACTCACTCTGTAGACCAGGCTGTCCTCAAACTCACAAAGATCCGCCTGCCTCTGCCTCCCAAGTGCTGGGATTAAAGGCGTGCGCCACCAACGCCTGGCCCATAGTGCTCTTTTTTTTTTTTTTTTTTTTTTTTTTTTGGTTTTTCGAGACAGGGCTTCTCTGTATTGTTTTGGAGGCTGTCGGTCCAGCCCTGCCTTGAACTCAGAGATCCACCTGCCTCTGCCTCTACCTTCAGATCTTAACTTAGGAACAAACTTGTACTCTCCAGCCTCAAGGCTCTCATCTGCTGAAATTATAAATGCATAACATGACATTCAACTTTTTTCATTCTTTTTTTTTTTTTTTTTTTTTTGGTTTTTCGAGACAGGGTTTCCCTGTGGCTTTGGAGGCTGTCCTGGAACTCGTTCGGTAGACCAGGCTGGTCTCGAACTCACAGAGATCCGCCTGCCTCTGCCTCCCGAGTGCTGGGATTAAAGGCGTGCGCCACCAACGCCCGGCCCATAGTGCTCTTTATCAGTCCATCATAACTTCTTTTTGTCACTGTGCTGGCTGGTATCATGACAATTGATACAAGCAAGAGTCATTTAGGGAAACTTAACTGGAAAAAATCCTCCATCACATTGGCCTGTGGTGCTGTGTGTGTGTTTGGGTTCTGACTGATGTGGGAGGTACCAGCCTATTGTGGGCAGTGCCACCCCTGAGCTGGTGTTCCTGGATGCTATCAGAAAGCAGGCTGATGCCAAGATGGCTATGCAAGGAGCCAAGGGGGTGAATACCTGCCTCCCACCTAAAGGAAACTGGATTTTGTACGGAATTTGCCATACAAAATCACAGTGGAAGAAATGGATATTTGGGGATTCATTCAAATCAGAGTAGGAAATACACCGGAGACCAGAAGAACAGTCTGTGTGGTCTCTGAAAACACCTTTGATGCTAAGAATGCACGTGACCATCCATCAGATTGCACATGTGTAGCAGATGCCTCGTGGTTTTGTATTATAACACTAATTGGGTGTTCCAGAAGATTGACACCAAGGAGGAGGAGGAGTAGCTGAAGCTTCTCAAGAAAAAGTATGGCATCAATACAGACCCAAATGAGCTCAGGGATTTCACTCTGAGTACATCCATGTGTGGTCCCAGCTAACCTTTTTTCTTTTTAATACTGAATATTGAGATTTCTCATTTGAGACCTAGAATGACTTGTTTGAAACTTTTCTAAGCATTAGAATATATTATCTTAGTAAACTAGCAGTTTTTTTGTTTTTGTTTTTTTGAGACGGGGTTTCTCTGTGGCTTTGGAGCCTGTCCTGGAACTCACTCTGTAGACCGGGTTGGCCTCAAACTCACAAAGATCCATCTGCCTCTGCCGATTGCTGGGATTAAAGGTGTGCACCACCACTGCCCGGCTAACTTGTAGCTTTTGTTAAAGAAAACAAAAGCAGGCTGAGGGGGCTGGAGAGATGGGTTAGCAGTTCACTGCTCTCTACATGACCCAGGCTAACAATGTCCGTAACTCCAGTTCCAGGTGATCTCACACAGACAGACAGACATGCACATGAAATAAAAAATAAATAAATAAAGCAGGCTGAGCAAATCATGAGGGAGTAATACTCCATGGCCTCTGCTTCAGTTCCTGTCCTGACTTCTTTAGATGATGTGGAAGTATATGCAGAATAAACCCTTTCCTCCCCAAGTTCCTTCATGGTGATGGTGTTTTACCAAAGCAATAGAAACCCAAGGTATTTGTGAAAATGATAGAGCAAAGGGACATTTCAAGATCCAAAAGGCCAAGAAAGCAACAGGATCCATGTGGTGGGCCAGGGCCTTGGCAGGGAGGCAGGGAGCCACCTGCCAGAGGCAGTTCTGGGTGGAAGACTGGCAAACAAAGGTTATGAAAGAGTACTATGATGAGGGCAAGAGCATCACTCACAGTACCAGTGCATGGAAAGCCCTAGGTCCCACTCCCAGAACCACAGAAGCGAAATAAGACCCCTGAAATGAATCATACGAAGGATGGAGAAAAGTGGAGGAGGGAGGAAGGAGGAGAGGGAGAGAGGGGCAGGAGAAGGGAGGAGGGGGAGGAGAAGGGAGGAGGGAGCAGAGGGAGGGAGGGAAGGGGGAGAGGGAGGAAAGAGGAGGCTAGGGAGTGAGAAGGGGGAGAGGGAGGAGGAGAGGAGGGAAGAGGGACAGATGGAGGGAGGAGGGAGAGAAGCTGGGAACACAGCCAGACCTTGATGTGAAAATCTGCAGGGAGAGTCCTGGAGCCCACCAAGCGCTTCATGAGGTAGCTCTTCCAGTCAGTGCACTTGATGTGGATGGCTGCAGAGACAGGAGCACAAGCTGGGAACAGGCTGACAGCACCTTCACCAGCCCAGACATCAGCTGGAGGGACAGACTATCCAGTTCCGCCACTTCAGGCCAACAATAGCTTCATCTGATAAAACCAGCCTCCAGGGTTAAGAACACTGCCTGTTCTTCCAGAGGACATGGGTTCAGTTCCCTGCCCCCTCCCCAGTGATTCACAATCATCTCTACCCAGTTCCAAAGGTCCAATACTTCTTCTGACCTTCTCGGGCTCCTGTACACACATGGTGAACAGACATTCACTCTGGCATACACGTTATATAAATAAATATGTATATGGATCCATGAAAACAACAACAAACAGGCTCTATAAATCCAAACTACCCAGGAACTTCTAGGCATTGTAGGGGAAGGAACAAAGGGACCCGGCATGGCGAGTTTTCTCATTAACTCACTCCGTGGAGGCACCAGGATCTTGCTGTTGATGGCACACCACCCGATGGGGTGGACATCCACTGTCCCCAGGTTGCACCAGAAGTCATGACTGGCATCATTTTCAAAGCCTTCGTATCGGAGCAGCACTCTGTACCCTGGAAGGAAAGACACAGGACCTGTGAGGGGGAGGGGATGGGAAAGGCATCTTTGTTCTCAGGCTCTCTTCCTCAGCTAGCACCAGTCAGACTTCATATGTTGGAAACTCCTTCCAGACGAGTGGGTCCCTGATACCCAAACAAAACAAAATCCAGTCCACACACTTAGAAAGCGTTCTGGTCTGGTGACTCCCTCTATGCCCTCACCATCCCCAGAATAACCTTAAAATCAAAATGAAGCAATGCCCTAGTTTCCAAGTTTGCCCAGATCCGTGCTCTCATCTAAGGGGGGAGGACCTCCAAGGGAGAGAAAGCTCGTGAATGAGGCCTTGGGTTATAACGCCCATTTCACCCCATGACACCACCCACAACCGACAAATCCTAGACTGTGCCCTGACTAGAGTGGAGCACCAACCAGCGGCCTGGATGACAGAGGCAATCCAGTACACCCGGCTGGGGAGCACGGCGTCACTGTTGAGGACTTCTACCTTCATCCCCTTCACGACATCTTCCCACTGGTCATAGAGGGGTACCTGTGTGGTAACGAGAGCACAGAGAGGAACTGCCTCAGGCCTGAGCCATCGTGTCCTCTGACCTTACCATCACACATCATGCACTGTGCAGAAGACTAGGAATAAGGAGGTAAACAAGCCATGTCCACTACCCAGGAACACGGGATGGCAGGGAGCCATCAGGCAGGGCCATGAGTGGAGGGTCAGAGGCACAGACTTGAATTCTCATCATTACAGGGCTAGCTCCTAGCTCTATCAGTATAAACACCCTCCGCATCCTGACCTGTCCCGCTGCCAGCTGCACAGCAGTGTCCGGCACAGAGACTACCCCCTTTAACACCACCAACCTGAGCTTTCACACACAGCTGGTAGAATGCACACTCGTCCCAGCCCTTCCCTACTGGGCAGCTTCCGGCTGCCTTCCCAATGCCTAATCCTAGATTTGCTGCCAGTGGGAAGTTGATCCCCTTTGGATCTTCTTCCACTACCAGCCTCAGTGTAAGCTACACAGGCAACAATCCATTTCCCAAGGCAGACAGGCTCACAGAGGCCTGGGCAGCATGCAGTGGCCCAGGTACACAGGCAAGTTTGTTTTTGGTTTTTTTTCCCGAGACAGGGTTTCTATGTGTAATAGTCCTGGCTGTCCTGGAATTTTAGACCAGGCTAGCTTCAAACTCACAAAGATCCACCTGCTTCTGCCCCCAAGTGCTGGGATTAAAGGCGTGTGTGCATCACCACTACCTGGCTCCACAGGCAAATTCTTTATCTTATGTTAAATATGACCTAATTTCCTTACAATAAAAATGTGGGGGCAAGCCGGCCGTTGGTGGCACACACCTTTAATCCCAGCACTCAGGAGGCAGAGGCAGGCAGATCTCTGTGAATTCGAGGCCAGCCTGGTCTACAGAGCGAGTTCCAGGACAGTCTCCAAAACAATACAGAGAAACCCTGTCTCAAAAAAAAAAAATGTGGGGCAAAACAGAATGCTTTCTTCCCCCGAAGGAAAGACACACTCACTAGCAACTCAGAGAAGGACATAGTAGGACCTAGGACCAACTTGTCATAGTTCAAGACAAGGAGACAATCCAGAAAGGCCAGGCAGCTGGCTCACTCTGCCCAAAAGAAAGCCTCAGGAGGCCTCTCTGGCATTAGCAGGCAGGACTGAAAAGTTAGAGAAACTGGGCTTGAGCCAGGCAGTGGTGGCGCACGCCTTTAATCCCAGCACTCAGGAGACAGAGGCAGGTGGATCTCTGTGAGCTCAAGGCTAGCCTGGTTTATAGATCCAGTCCAGGACAGACTCCAAGGCTACAAAGAGAACTCTGTCTCGAAAAACCAAAATCCTGGGCCAGCACTTTCGAGACTAAGACAGGAAGACTGCTCTCAGGCCCAGTCTGAGCTATAATGTGAGACCCTGTCCTGAATTAAAACAAAAGACACAAAATGAAAGACAAGACTGGCAGTACTGGCGCATGCCTGTAATCCCAGGACTGGGGAGGCACAGGCACCAGCCTGATCTACAGAGTGAGTTCCAGGACAGCCAGAGCTACACAGAGAAACCCCGTCTGGAAAAGCCAAACAAACAAACAAACAAATAATGAAAAGACAAAAGACCAGCTGTATCATTCCAGGCTAGCACAAGGAACAGCTGCTGAGGACTATCATATTCTTGGCCTCAAGCTTATCCAAATCATCCAAACAGGACATCAAAGCTTTATTCTTCAGGAAGAACCAGAAAGAAGTCCCCCAATGGAGTGTTTAGTATTAGAAAGGTCCTTAGACAAGGGCTAAGGGTGCAGCTTGATGATATAAAGTGCATGCAATCCCTAGTGGTAGAAGGCTGGGCATGGTGGCACATGCTTGTGATTCCAGCAGGTGGGAGGTGGAGGCAGGAGGACCACAAGTTCAAGGCTATCCTCAGGAAGTTAGAGGTCAGCCTGGGATATATGAAATCCTGCCAAAACAAAACATATTAGGGATGGAGAAATGGCTTAGTGATTAAGAGCACTGGTTGCTCTTGCAGAGGACCAGGGTTTGATTCCCAGCACCTACAAGGCAGCTCACAACCATGCAAAGAATTCTACTTCTGGAGGATCTGATGCCCTCTTTTTTGTTTGTTTTTTTATTTGGGGGGGAGGTGAGACAGGATTTCTTTGTGACTTTAGAGGCTGTCCTGGAACTAGATCTTGTAGATCAGGCTGGTCTCAGAGATCTGCCTGCCTCTGCCTCCCAAGTGCTGGGATTAAAGGCATGGGCCACCAATGCCCGGATTTTTTTTTAAAGACTTATTTATTTATTTACCTATACAGTGTTCTGCCTGCAAATATGCCTGCAGGCTTGAAGAGGGCACCAGATTTCATTACAGATGGTTGTGAGCCACCATGTAGTTGCTGGGAATTGAACTCAGAACCTCTGAAGAGCAGCCAAGGCTCTTAACTATTAAGCCATCCCTCCAGTCCTGGTTTTTGATTTTTTTAAGACAGGGTTTCTCTATGCAGTTTTGACTGTCCTGGAACTTGCTCTGTAGACCAGGCTGGTCTCAAACTCACAGAGGTCTGCCTGCCACTGCTGGGATTAAAGGTGTGCGCCTACACCTGCTTTATACTGTATGAGCATATTGGTGCTTTGTCTGCACTCCAGAAGAGGGCACAGGATCCCATAGGAATATAGTTATATATCGTTGTGAGCTGCCATTTGGTCATAGGAATTGAACTCAGGACTCCTGGAAGAGCAGTCAGTGCTCTTAACTGCTGAGTCATCTCTCCAGCCCTGCAATACAAAGGAGAGTTTCTGGGGAATGGGCACTCTTCTCAAGGATGCTGTCCAGCCTGGCGCAGCTCAACTGAAGTGTGTGGATAGTAAGCAATGAGGCAGGCAGCCTGAGATGTCCCCTGGCTGTCCCTGGTTGTCCCTCCCTCGTTGCCAGGGTACTCACGTGTTTGAAGCAGCTGACAGGAGCAGCCTTGTAACTGTGGTCCTTCAGGAACTTGCCCCAGTCGAACCCTAAGACCAGAGCTGCAGAGCACATGGGAAAAGTTGAAGCGGGGTGTCTACAGCAGCCACATTAGAACATGGACCTGGAGGCCCCACTGGGCTCTAGGAACAAGTCCCTTTATTACCACCAATGGCCATCAGCGTTAGTATCCAGGCATCTGCACTGGGCTCTAGGAACAAGTCCCTTTATTACCACCAATGGCCATCAGCGTTAGTATCCAGGCATCTGCACTGGGCTCTAGGAACAAGTCCCTTTATTACCACCAACGGCCATCAGTGTTAGTACTTAGGCATCTGCACTGGCCTGTCCTTGGGGTTCTGACAGGATACATCCTCAGCTGCAGCCACTAAGAGCACCACCTGTGCACATTTCACTACGTTCCCTCTTAAAAGGGCCCTGCCCACCTCCCATCTCTCTTTCTTTCTCTCCCTCTGTCTGTTCCCGTCTCTCCCCCTCTTTCATTTGTCCTCTCTCCTGCTGCTACTGTCTCCGGAGGCTAGTCTCCCCCCTTCCCTTTTTGTCATCCCTTTCCAAAAAAAAACCTCTGCTTAAACCCTGTTGCATGACGTCTTTCTCTCTCATGCAGCGTTTTTCTTAAATTACAACAATCAGGACTGCAGAGTAGAGGGGCATCCAAAGAGAAACTTTTTTCCCTTCCTGTCCCACAGAGAGAGGGGTTTAAGTCAGATCTCATAGGATTAAGCTCCTCCTCCTGCACCCACTCATTGGCACCTAATTGGCAAGGGCAAGAAGCTCAGCAGACTGCCCACCTGTGCAGTCTCAGCCTCTTGGAGGCTCTGTGTAATTTGCTCATCAATTGCTATGCTTGGAAGACTGAGCGGCCCCTTCCACCTGCTCCACATACCCTGGGCCTCCCCTGCACCAGGGGGTCAGAGCCATGTGGACAGATGCTAAGAGAAATTAAGTAGCTAACTTTTGGGTACTCTCAGAACCAGGGAATTGAGGGCCACTGAAAGAAATGCCTACGATCATTCCCGCAAAAGTCAGATGGTGACAGTTTATGGTAGGCCTAGATCCTCAACTTTCCAGCAGGCCACCTTTCCAGTCCTTCTTCCCAGGCAAGGATCCTCCGCCATGGTTCCCCACCCCAGTACTCTGTCTCACCATCTTGTCCTGTGGGTGTCCCATCTGCTAGCTGTCCTGTCCCCTGGGCATGGAGGAAGGCTCCAATTTTGGCAGACCAGGCTGCCTTGTGCAGCACTTTGGCTTTCTTGGTGGGCGGTTTTCCCTGGAGGGCAAGAAGAAAAGCATACAGGCTGGCAACTGTGCATCAGAATCAGTTTCTGTTTTGCTTTGTTTCTTTGAGATATCGTGACCTGGAATTTGCAGCTCTCGTGCCTCTGCCTCCTGACTGCTGAGATTCCAGGCATGCACCACCATAGCAAGTGAGAAAGTAGAGCTTGGTTAGGACTGCTGAGGCCACGCTCCTGGTCTTGGTCCAGCTACTTAACTTTGTTTGAACTTGAGTTTCTATTGTTAAAACTGATGATGAATCAGGAGGTGGTGGTGCATGCATTTAGTCCCAGCAGAGGCAGGCATATCTCTGTGAGTTCAAGGCCAGCCTGGTCTACAGACAGAGTCCCAGGACAGCCACAGAAACTTTGACTCAAAAAAAACAAAAACCAAAATAAAAACACTGATGATGAGAGAGAACACTCAGGAGATGGTTCCAGAAGGTTGGGGTCAGTAGAGCTGCACATGAGGGAGAAACTCCCATCATTCAGGCCTTTGACTTCTCAAGAAGCCTCTCCCTAGCATTTTCCCTGCAGTCCTCTCTCTCCACGTTCCCAGCTCCCCGGAGAGCTACACTGAGTGGTTGCAGAGCAGCCAGAAACTCTCCAAACCCACAAACATTTTGTACATATGCTAATGTCCTGGAGAGTCTGCTCCAGAACATTCTTGAGAGCTTTCATCAGGGCTCAGGGAACGTTCACTCATACAAGATAATTAAGCAACAAGGACAAAGGCCAGAAGTCCACCCGATACACCAGCCAAGCAGGGTGCACCTGCACTGAGGTCTGCCCTAAAGCAGTGGTTCTCAACCTCTTGGGGGGGTGCTTCAAACAACTTTTTCACAGGGGTCACATATCAGATGTCCTGAATATTTACACTATGATTCATAACAGTAGCAAAATTACAGTTATGAAGTAGCAACATAATAATTTTATAGTTGGGGTCACCACAACATGAGGAACCGGGCGGGCCTTGGTGTTGCATGACTTTAATCCCAGCAATCTGAGGCAGAGGCAGGCAGATCTCTGTGAGTTTGAGGTCAACCTGATCTACAGAGCTAGTTCTATGACAGCACTACACAGAGAAACCCTGTCTCAAAAAATAAAACAAAAAACCCAGGAAGAACTGTATTAAAGGGTTGCAGCATTAGAAGGGTTGAGAACCGTTACCTTAAAGTCACCATAAATTTTTAAGCCTTTTAAAATAGGAATTGCTGAGCATTAGGGAGGCAGAGGCAGGGGGATATCTGTGAGTTTGAGGCCATCCTGGTCTACAGAGTTAGTTCCAGGACAGCCAGGACTACATACAGAGGAATCCTGTTTCAATAAATAAATAAATAAATAAATAAACAAATTGAATGGGGTCTAGTAAGATGGCTCATTGGTCAAGACTACGGGCTGCTCTTCCAGAGGATCCAGGGTTAGTTCCCAGCATCTACACAGCGGCTCACAACTGCCCCCACTGCCTCCAGGTCCCAGGGCACCTGATTGCCTCTTGGTGATGTGGGGGGGGGCAGTGAAAGGAAGAAAAGAGGGAGGAAGAGAGAGAGGGAGGAAAAGAAGGAAGGAGGGAGGGAGGGAGGAAGGGAAGAAGGGAGGAAGAAAGGAAGGAAGGAAGAGAGGGAGGGAGGAAGAAAGGAAGGAAGGGAGGGAGGGAGGAAGAAAGGGAGGAAGGGAGGGAGGGAGGAAGGAAGGGTGGAACTTTTTGAGGCAAGCTCTTGTGTACCGCAGATGGTCACTAGGGATGAGTTCCCCAAACTGACTAAGCTGTCTGCCTCCAATCATTTCATGGCTCTGGCTCAGCATCTGGGACCCCAGGAAGTGTGTGAGTGGTTGCTCTCACCTGTAGTCTAGCCAAGATACTGGCTTTCTTGGAGTTGGAGGAGTAGCTCCTGGAACACGAGACGCTGCAAAACCTCTTGGTCTTTGAGAAGAAAGCATCCCTTGTGCCCACGATACCACACATCTCACAGACCGCTGGAAAGAGACCTTAGCATGTGACTCCCTGACATAAACACTTTAAGTCAAACAAAATCATGGGCTCCTCAGATTCCAGGTCACTGCAACAATGTGAGTGTTAGGCTTTAAGGCAGAGTGAAAGGAGGAGGTGGTGGACAGTGCGTGGAGTTCTCTTCAAAAGCAGTCTCGCTACATGCTGCCCTCAGATCTGCAGGTTCAATAGACCCTCTTCCATCAGCATCTCTAGCAGCTGGGATTACAAGTGTGTACAGCCCCATCTATCCTCCTAAGATGATAGGTGGTTTCCCTTGGCTCTGTATCAAGAGCCAGTGATAAGGGGTTGGAAATCTACACGAACACCTACAGAACCGGTGGACAAGCTTCCGAGAGAGGAAAGTGACAAGAGAAAACGTGCTGAAGTCACTTAACATTTGCAGTTCTTCCTTCTCACAAGGAGCAAGTAGACACGATGTGTTTGCCTGACCACACTAGGTCACTGGAAGAGCTGTCTCTCGACAGTGCTGTGGCCTGGGCTCCAGTGACACACTGTGTCTAAAGTGCTTCCCCGCTTCCCAGATGACAAGCTGCAGCCAGGGTCGCGAACCAGCCCTGGGCCAGCTGTTCTCCCGTGATTCCTGCTAGTATTCAAGTTCTCAGATTTTGAGGAGGGCTAGAAGATAGGAGGGAGAAAGACGGGGAAAATGGGGGGAGGAGAAGCCAAGTTGACTGGAGGGAAACCTGGCCCCACTGCCCAAGAGTGCAAGCGTGAAGGAAGGGAGCCTGCCTCTTTTCAAGGACACACGGCTCACACTCTGGAAGCCCCGACACAGGGTCTGTCAGCCATCCAAGAGCCACCTCTTCAAGTCAGCTGGCTTCCAGAAGACCCGAGGCCACTATCTTCTGCCCACTTCCAGACCTGCCCTCTGACTTCACTATCCTGCACATTCCCCCACAGTGCCCGCTTGCAGCCCAGAAGCTGTCTGCACTCACATCGCTGAGGGCCTCATTGTCTTCACAGCACACTTACTCACTCGAATGTAATGGCATCTAAAAGTGCTGAACAGACAGGAGAGGAAATGACCCTTGAGAGGACAGTCCCTTAGACATCTGAATGGCTGGGCCCACACTGCCTGTGTCCATCCATCCATCCCGACTCCTCCACGGCCTCCTGACTACTCTCCATCTAAGGACTGTGCCAGCACCTGGCTCGGAGCCACTGCCATCCAGGGAGCGCGTGTTCCCAGGGCTGAGCAAAGGCAGGGGTGAGGCGGGAAGCTCCCCTGCTTCCCGGTCTTCAGTTTCCGCTTCACTCGACTCCTCCAGATAGGAGCTGCTCTCGCTGCCTGCGCTGCTGTTGTAACTCCGGAAGCTGTCGTAGCCCCCAAAGAGTTCCAAGTCATCCTCCTCCTCCTCTTCCACTGGCTCTGAAGACGGCGCCTCCTAGTGGAAAAATGACGTTGCTTGGCTTGGGAAGAAAATTTGCAAATCTGCTAATCCACCCAATGTGGTTGGGGATTTGAACTCTGGTCCTCTGAAAGAGCAGTAAAAGCTGGGCGTTGGTGGCGCATGCCTTTAGTCCCAGCACTCAGGAGGCAGAGGCAGGCGGATCTCTGTGAGTTTGAGGCCAGCCTGGTCTACAGAGTGAGTTCCAGGACAACTTCCAAAGCAATACAGAAAAACACTGTCTCGAAAAACCAAAAAAAAAAAAAAAAAAGGAGCAGTAAAAACAATTAACCACTGAGCCACTTCTTAAGCTCCCTACTGGACGATATCCTACTGAACGATATTTCATGTGGACAAAATAGAACACGGATGGAGTTACACCTGCATAAACCTACCATAAGCTAAAATATTGCAATCGAGGAGCTGGGGAGATGGCTCAGTGGTTAGGACCACTGGTTGCTCTTCCAGAGTACCCAAGTTTGGTTCCCAGCACCCACAAGGCCAATCATAACCTTCTGTAGATGTAGTACCAGAGGATCTGATGCTCAATTTTGGTCTCTGTGTGCATCAGGCAGGCATGTGGTGCAGACATGCATGCAGACAAAATGGCTACACACAAAAAAAATCTTTTTAAAATAAAAACAAAAATAATACAAATAAAAATAAAATGCTGGGTGGTGGTGACACACACACCATTGATCCCAGCACGTGAGAAGCAGAGGCAGGCAGGTATCTGTGAGTTCAAGGCCAGCCTATTCTACAGAGCTAGTTCTAGGACAGCCAGGGCTAAACAAAATCCTATCTCAAAAAAATTATATACATGTTATATGCTGAAAATTCATTTAAGAAATCTAAGAGGCCAGGTATCATTGGGCACACCTAATCCCAGCATTCAGGGGCAGATGCATCACTTTGAGTTTAAGGCTACCAGCACAGCAAATTCCAGGTCAGCCAGGGTTAGAATTCTCCTCCTCCTCTTCCACCTTCCTTTTTTTTTTTTAATAAAGGCAGGCTTTGTCTGTGTACCCCGGGCTGTGTTGGAGCTCACTCTGTAGACCAGACTGGCGAACCTCAGTTTCCAAGCGCAGGGGTTATAGGTGTTTCCTCTAGCGACTGCATGGCTAATTGCAAACTGTGGTTTGTGTGCCTCTGCCCACCGCCAACCTCTCACACCGGTACAGCAAACTTCGAACTTCAAAGTACAATTTCTACTCAACAAACATTGCTTTCGCACCACTATAATGTCAAAACATTATGCCAGGCATCAGAGGTCTATTCAATAATGTAGAAATATCACAAGCTCCTAAAAAAAATCTCCTGGGCAGAAGGCATTTGAAATCCATTAATCCAATCTTCCCTGTTCAATATATGCACACCTGAATGATTTCGATTCAAAAACAATTTTTTCTTGAGACAGGGTCTCTCCATAGACCTGACTGGCCTTGAACTCAGAGATCCACTTGCCTCTGCCTCCCGAGTGCTGGGATTAAAGGCTGGCAGCAGCAGCACTCCTGTGACTGCCTGTCCCATTGGTCCTTGCAGTATTTTCTTCCTAAAGGGGGAGGGGGCAGAAACTGGGCCTGAGACTGTCCCAGGCAGACCTGAGTAAGATGCCACACAGACAGTAATGGTATGGAAGCAGGAACCACAGCTTACAGGTAAACTCTGACCCTAATCAGCTACTGATCCTTGGGTCATTTAGCTTTTGGGGACCTCAGTGTTCTCATCAATGACAGAAAAGTGTTGGCTCACAAAATGTGAGGTATAGATGTGATACTACATAAAAACCCAAGGTTCAAATACCGTCATCTCCAGGGCTTCCTAGACATATATAATCCACAGCAAGTCAACTCCCACAGTCTCCGCTTCCGAAATGAGGACAATACCACTATTTAATAATATTTGTGGAAGAAAAGTAAAACAGGACAGTACTCGTTCAATAAATGTTGGCTATCATTACATCTTGAAAAAGGAAAGACACTTCAAATGCAAGGTGTGGTGGAGAGCGGGCTTCCGTGCCATGGAAAAGCAGAGCAAGGTTCTGGGAACTGACATCCTTAGTGCCAACCTCTTGCTCTTCCCAGCTGTGTTGACTTCCTGGGGGAATCTAACAGGCTGCTTTAAGCCCTCTCCACAGAAAACGGCTGTGCGCATCCTGGGAGACTGGCACGTAAAAGCTCCAGCAAGGGGTAATAACCAATTTCTATCTCCCTTCACCTCCCGCGTGGAAGCGACAGGCCGCACAATCCCTAAAGCACAGGACCACGAAACGAAGAAGACAAAGGAGTGGCGTCAGAGTCTGGAGTCCAGTTCCGATGCCCCGAGACCCGAGCCCACGGCGTAACGGGATCAAAAAGGAACCCGGCTGGTCTCCTAGCTAAGCTCTCTACCTCAGTTTACCAATCCTGCAACTCTCCACCCCAAAGGCGTCCCTAAAACGGGGCGTCCGCCGAGTGGAGCGTTCGGGGCTCCCTTTCCCGGCAGGGCTGAGCCCTTTCTCTCTTACCTCAGTGCCCCGCGGTTCCTCCATGGTACCAAATTCAATTTCCTCAACCGTCACCAGGTGCAGGAAGCCATATTGCCCTCGCCGCTTACCGAGAGTGTGCTCATTGGCTAGCGGCAGACCAATCACACCGTAGGAAATAGGAAAAGCCGGTTCCGCGCTAGCCCGAACCCTGCCTCCATTACGGAGGGGCTGGGTAATCCGGGCGGTTATGGGAGTTGTAGTTTTCTCCGGGGTGCCTCTCTCATCATCCTCTCTAAACCCAGCACCTAGGATGGACTCGCCCAGGCGCCAGACAAATCTTCGCAACTTCCCCAGCTAGGAAGTAAAGGTGCTCTTCTACTAGGATGCCTAGAAGAAATGCCTAGTCTCTCTTTCAACTCAGGCAGAAACTGGATTTTTTTTTCTGAGTCAGGGCTTCTCTGTAGCTTTGGAACCTGTCCTGGAACTCGCTCTGTGGACCAGACTGTTCTCAAACTCACAGAGATCCACCTGCCTCTGCCTCCTAGTGCCTGTAATTTAATCCCAACACTGGATAAGCAGAAACAGGAGGGTTCATCCACATGACTTTCTGGCCAGCCAGCATAGTTACAGTGAGTGGCAAGAGACTGAAGATACCTGGTCAACTTCTATCCAACTCCAGTACACACATGGAGTCCTCACAACTTTCTGGGTTTTTGTGTAGCCTCACAAACATCTGAAATCCAGAGAAATCTAGTCACCTTCTTACTTCTCCCAGATCCCCACTCCCATCTCCTCACCCCTCTTTGTTGCCTCTTTTATTTATTTATTTATTTTTTGGTTTTTCGAGACAGGGGTTCTCTGTGGCTTTGGAGGCTGTCCTGGAACTAGCTGTATAGACCAGGCTGGCCTTGAACTCACAGAGATCCACCTGCCTCTGCCTCCCGAGTGCTGGGATTAAAGGCGTGCACCACCAACACCCGGCTTGTTTGTTGTTTTTCGAGACAGTGTTTCTCTGTGTAACAGTCCTGGCTGTCCTGGAACTTGCTTTGTAGTCCAGACAGGTCTTGAACTCACTGAGATCCGCCTGCCTCTGCCTCTCAAGTGCTGGGATTACAGGCATTGCCACCACCCCCGGGTTTTTTTTTATCTATTTATTTTACGTGTATTAGAGTTTTGCCTTCACGCATGTCTGTGCACCATGTGAGTGCCAAATGTCAAGGAAGCCAATGAGGGTGTGGGGTATCATGGAAGTGGAGTCACAGACAGCGGAGTCATCTCTCCAGATCATTGTGTTTGTTGTTGCTATTGTGCTGACGTGTGTGTGTGTGTGTGTGTGTGTGTGTGTGTGTGTGTGTGTGTGTGTGTGTGTGTGTAACAGACTTACTATGTAGCCTTGGCTGGCCTGGAATTCACTATGTGGCCAGGCTGGCCTTAAACTCATAGAGATCCATTTGTCTCTGCTTCCCAAGTGAGTGCTGGGATTAAAGTCAAGCATCACCATTCCTGGCCCTGTTACTGGTTTTTAAGAATCCTTTAAGCCAGCCTCCGAAGCCACAGAGAAACCCTGTCTCGAAAAACCAAAAAAAAAAAAAAAAAAAAAGAATCCTTTAAGCCGGGCAGTGGTGGCGCACGCCTTTAATCCGAGCACTCCGGAGGCAGAGGCAGGTGGATCTCTGTGAGTTCGAGACCAAGCCTGGTCTACTGGGCAAGTTCCAGGACAGGCCCCAAAACAATACAGAGAAACCCTGTCTTGAAAAACCAAAAAAAGAAAAAAAAGAATCCTTTAAGATGGGCAGTGGTGGCATATGCTTTATAATCCCAGCACTGGGAAAGCAGAGACAGGTAGATCTCTCTGAGTTCGAGACCAGCTTAGTCTACAGAGTGAGTTCTAGGACAGCCAGGACTGTTTCACAGAGAAACCTTGTTTCAAAAACCAAAAAAGAAAAAGAAAAAACAAAACCTGACTCTCCCCCCAAAACCTGCCTGTTATCCCTAGTACCTCACTGAAGCACAAACTGATCTGCTGATCTAGTGCAGTCTTGTACAGGCAGCCACAGCTGCTGTAGATTGATCAGTGTGCTGAGCCTGACATGTCCCAAAGGGATCGTTTAGCACTAGGCTCTGAAAAATTTACCAATTTGCTCTGTGGTGGTAGCACATGCCTTTAATCTCAGCATTTGGGAGGCAGACGCAGGTACATCTCTGAGTTTGAGGCCAGCCTGATCTACAGGGAGTTCCAGGATAACCAGGGTTACACATAGAAACCCTGTCTCAAAAAAGAAAAACAAAACCAGAAAAATTTACCAACTTCTGTTCTGTGATCCCTGAGGCCTGGGGCGGGTTGGGAGGGCGTTGTGTATTGTCTTATTTGTGCCTGAGTACTCCATTGACACTCAGTCTCTGCAGTGTGACCAGTTTGGGTTTCTT